ATAGAGGACCTTCTTGCAGCAACACCAGAAGCACTCCAAGTGGCCAGATACTGGTCAAAGGTCATTTAATCAACTACCAAACTCACAATTTTCATATTTTGTCTGGTTTTGTTTTTTTGCTTTGTTCTGTTAGAAATGTAATATGTATAATCGACTAGTTGCACTGACACAATAAATAAAAAAACAAAAAAAAACCCCATGAGTGGCCACCAAAAAAAAAGTTGGCCTTTTGCTTGCCATCCATGCCCTGCCTCTCTCTAACTTACCTTAGCGGTGCCCACTAGGCACCAAAATTATATACCCAGATTGAAAATATCCAGCATGCCAGGAGAAGGCTGGGAGAAAGAGGAATCCCTCTACTCTTTTTGAAGTACTAGATGTAGTCATTCCAGGCACTAAGGGTATCTCACCTCCAATTTGGTGCCTGGAAGTTGTACTCTCGGAAAATGTACTCTCAGCCTTCTCTTCTGCAGGCTAAACATGCCCAGCTCTTTAAACCGCTCCTCATAGGGCTTGTTCTCCAGATCCTTGATCATTTTAGTCTTCCTCTTCTGGACACAACTCCCTTAAATTGCGGTACCAGAATTGGACACAGTATTCCAGATGTAGTCTGACCAAGGCAGAATAGAGGAGTAGCATGCCATCCCTGGATTGACTACTCCTATTTATGCAGGCCAAAATCCCATTGGCTTTTTTAACTGCCGCATCACATTGTTAGCTTGAAGACTTCAGATGTCTATGCCACAAAAAGGAGTATTTATCTTTGTACTAGAACAGAAAATCGTGAATATTGTGCCTTATGATTCTGTTGTTCTATCTATATTGCATTTCTAGGGTAGTGGTAAGCGGTAATGCAGTCAAATAATAATAATGCTGCAAATAGACTAATTTGCATGGCAAGTGCACATGGCCAGGCTTTAGCACTTGACCTGAAGGACCTGGTGATAAAAAGTAACATTTTGTTATACTTAAAATGTAAACAATTTATCATTTCAATTCACAAAATTACTTATGTGATAAAACATTTGAGAAAGATCATAGAAGATGGTACATTATTGCAATATAAAATCAATGTCGTAATGTAAAGTTGTGTGCTTTCCCTTTTTTCTACAAGACATTTATTTTTTAAAATGGTAGTTAATAGGCCTGTGCGGTTTCGTTCGTTAATTTCGTTATTCGTTAAACATTCGTTATTTTTGGCATTTACGA